GCTAGCTTCCCTTCCTAAGTACTAACAGGTGTGTATCAGTGAAAGACCTGCACTTGATATATCTGCAGAGAAAAAGTTCATATCAGAATCAAATATAAACCAAATCCAGTATCTGAATGCAGCTCGATCTCATTCACATACACACTCCTCTCTTTAAAAAGATGGACATTACATGGTGTAGCCCACTAATAGCTTTTTGTTGTGTGCACAATGTGCAACACAACTACTTAAAAATAATTTTTATTATTTAAATGAGTTAATAAAACGATCTAACATTGGTAACACTTTATTTTGGTGGTCCCTTTTGCACATTCTGTTAACATTGCAACTACATGTCAACTTCATCTTCCAAAGATTCTTACGTGCAGAGGTCAATTTACTATCAGATTTAGGGGTACCAAATTATGGAACAGCTTTTTCCACCTAGCAACAAACTCCTCCTCATTAAAATGTTACAAAAGATATTTAAAAGCCCATTTAACTGCTGTCTTAAAATTTTAATATAGAAATTATCTTACCTTTATGTTATGATCATATTTTTGTTTGTATATTTCCATTACTGTCATTGTCATTAAAATTGGTTGATGTTATGTGTATGTATACATGTGCACGTGTGTATTGTGTGTGTGTGTTATAGATATATGTATCACTAGTTTGTTATTACTTTTATGTAGTCAAATGTTATTTGGTTTTTTTTATGTTCTTTTTGATTTTATTGTAATTATATCTATAGGTGGAGGCGTTAAATAAGCCCCTTTTTTTTTTTTTTGCCTCTTCCTGCACATAAATTGATAATATTTGTCTTATTTTGTTTATATATTTTATGTCTTGTGTATAATTATTATTATTGTCATTTTTATGTAATTGTAAAGGTGCAAAAATAAAAAAAACTAACTCTCATTAGAGTATTAGTAGACTGCTTAATATCTGCTAACTCTTTATTATGATGGTCCCCCAATAGACATTGACTATTAGTAACTTTGGAACAACATTTTAACTTATTTTAAGCCTAACCCTGCTGTCTACTAATACTAACACTCTAATGAGAGCTAGTAGACATGTAGGTGCTACATTACTTACAGTCAACAGCATGTGTTAAAGGGACCATCAAAATAAAGTTTTTTTTTTTTTACTACAATGAATTGAATATTCATTTATTGAATATTCATTTAGTCAAACATACGATGCATGATTTTATTTGTTGGACACAGTTGAGAAGTTCAAGACTTCTTAAGTGGGACTGACATGCTAATAAGGTTATCCAACATATCCAATAGTTCTCACAACAAAACACATTGAATTTGTTCCGGTAATGCATATGTGGAAAGTGTCATCTAGCATCAGTTTCTGCCTTGTATATCACAACTAGTTTGGCAAGACAAAAAGGTGTCTGATGCTGCCTTCATGTGCTTTCGGAAATGTCCTACTTCCCACTTCTGAAGTTGTAATTACGAGTTTGTCGCATTCAAATGCTTTATTGTTGAAAGGAATTTTAATACATTGAAAACACCATGTTCATTCTTGCCTATTTCTTAGGGGAAACTTATTAAAGCTAAAATGTATTGAAGAAATTTATTCAATATCCGACAGATTTTGAATAAAATATAGATTCCAATTCATTGGCAACCATTTAAACATTACCTGTGCTATTGTATGCATTCACTGTACTGCGCATGTATAAGGTTCAGTAAAATAAGCTCTTGTATAATAAAATGTTTGTAAAATATATTCAATTTACATCAAATGGTTATTTATTTATATGTCAATATACGACTGTAACGGCAAGAGAAAGCAATGTAGATGTTGTGGGAAAAAAACAAATAAAACTTAGTCACTACAGCAATACTCTCCTCCACCAGGTTTAAAGTTTATGACCTGCCCAACTCGGAAACTCGGGTAACAAAATTACCTCAAGAGTTTCCCATTCGTAAAAACATCTTGAGAGGCTGTTGATGTCCGATAGCACGTGAAAGCAGCATGAGGTGTAGCTGTTAGATGGGTGAGGTTTCCTCTATGATATCTCATTGTGGGTGTGGTGGTGTTCTGATGACAGGACTCTTTGATGTGATCAGAACTGCACTGATCACTGTGGTTACCTGCTATTTCTAGGTGTCGCCCCACATTTCTAAATGGAGTTTTTTAGGGTGGTTTGACCTGTTTACTCCAGTAGGTGAGGGGTTAAGTGAGCGGCATGCAGGGGAACGAGGGCTTAATGGTAGGTTTGTAGTCTTTTTTTTCTTTATTTATGAAGTAGACTCATCCACACTCAGCAACTTTCAAGGTTCTTTGCTCCAAGCTACAAATTCACATCAGGTTTATTTCCAACACAGCAGCACCGATCCTGTAATTTCTTTTCCTAATAAATAAAGTAACTCTGATGCAATAATAAAAAAAAAAAAAACAGTCTTCTTTACCAACAATTCCACTACGGGACAAAGGGAGATTAGAGAACATCATTCAGCGCCCCTGACTCAGCCAAAAAGTGTCATCAGGTAAGTGCTGCATTGACAGTATGAAGAATTGAAACAGCAGCTGCAACTTTTCACATCGCAGCTTCAGAGAATACATATCAACGGGTGATGTATCGATGTATTTGTTGGATTTGAGCAACCCAAACATACACAGATGAGTGTACACAAAGTTGAACACACTTCATGGAAATGTCATTTACATCTTACGAGTTAAATGTTTTTCTGCTTTCCTGTCACATGTGGGAATATATAACGCAGAACTGCCAAAGTGCAGAGGCGTGCACACAGATACATACCATACATCAAAAACCATTTCATATCAGGTTGGGGACAGATCCATTGTGCAGGCATTTAGAAGACCGTAAGGGAACTATTAAGTAAAATTAGTCTGTCCCAGTGGTGTGTCTGACAGGACTAACTGTCATTAAAATGTTTAAACTTTAGTCGAATTTTACAAGGAGCAGAGAGAAGAAAGAGTTATGTTTGAACATTTCACTACGGGTGAAGTCTAACCACAGGAGTTGGAGAATGAAATAACCTCTTAAAAATGCCTCAAGTCTCAATGGATGAGATCATTCATCTGCTTTTGCAGGGAATGAGGGATGCTAATTTGTTCTGTTAACTGCTAATGTACATTTAATATACATTTTACATTAATACTTAAGGAAAATAAGCTATAAAGGGACCAAAAGAAAAAAATTCAAGCATATGAAACTGTGGAAAACACTCAATCGTGGGTATATAGGAAAATGAGAATATACCAAGACTCTTACAGTAAATAAATGGCCTAATAACTTTTAGTTTAAAAGGTTACAGAGACTGCAAGTTTGCTAAGAGGGTATGGCTTGGTGCCATCAGACTGAGGGTCCAACCCATCTCAATAAGACCTCAACAAGTTTGGTCAGAGTACACTGAAAAGTTATAACAGGCAGTAGGTGTATTAGTCAAAGTGTTTTGCCCACATGAAACGTTCGGTTTATTTTCATGATTATAGTACTTGCAGATTTTCATAACAGCTTGGTTGAAGGTAACATTGCACTTGTACCATCTCAAATACACCATCAATGTTCAGAAGGCAAAAAAAAGGAAAGTACTGAAACTTAAAACAAAATGTAATCAAAAACCAGTATAAAATCCTATGCTGGGTTCGTGTCAATTTTTAAGTTCATAGAACTTCATTTTAGTTTTTGCTGTTGCAAATAATATAAAATACAATCTTTTCTCAAAAAAGTGTAAAAAAAAAAAAAAAAAAAAGTAACACTAAAAATTGAGAATACAGCAAAAATGATCTACACTTGGTACAACAACATACAAACAAACAATAACAGATAAATCCAAAAGATGGTAACAGCTGTAAAGTCCACAATAAATCTGCAGGTTCCTCAGTATAAAATTGCATTTGCAATTTAAAAAGAACAGCCATTTCAAGAAATGATCTTCAGTAGACACTTTACAATGATAGATAACTGCTTCAAACAAAAGCAATTACAAACAAACTAGGGAAGTCCAGAAAAAAAGAACCGTTTTGAACATACACACAGTAGCTACATTTTAGAAGCATTTCTCACCATACTCAGTTCTCTTCCCATTATGCAAGGCTTTCCATGTGCCAACCATGTATTAAGTAGCATTACAAAGCAATGTAAACAGTGTTCGCTAAATTCACCCCCATATAAATGCAAGGCAACTTTAGAAAACACATGGCTAGTAAAATTTTAAGTGTTTATGCACTTAAACAATTAGTAAACACATATAAAACATAAAGCAGAACAGCCAAAGTATTTGAACAGGCATTTGATAATACAAGCATTAACGCCGATTTATTAGTTACCTACAGGTTTGTGAGGTCATGTTTGATTAGGTAAGTGCTACTGTACCTCTATTTTACCTGCTATTCTCAGTATGACATCCTGGCAGAAATGTGTTCAAAAGCTCTTTGGATACTTGGGGCTGTTCACACAGAACAAGTTTTTTTCCCCACCACTCAAAAAAAAAAAAAAAAAAAAAATGACAAAGTAGAAATGATTACAAAAAGTCAAAATTATGAAACATAATTATGAGATAAAGTCAAAATTTAGATAAATCAAATGACAAGTCAAAATGATGAGATAAGAAGTAAAAATGAAATCTCTTAGTCAAAATTGAAATAAAAATGATTAAGTCAGGGAATTTTTATCTTCATTTTGACTTGTCATGACTCATCTCAATTATAACGGACAAAATTGAGATACAAAGTCATAATTATGACAAAAAGCCATTATGAATAGTCTTTTTTTTTTACTTATATAAACAATTTAGAATTTTTTTTTCATAGTTACGACTTACTATGTCAAAATTAAGATTTACCAAAGCATTTTTCCATAATGTGTTGGAAATGGGCTTCCATGATTCATATGAACAGGTTAGTTTTCAAATAGAATACCGGAGGCAAACTATTAAAAAAAAATAGACACAAGCAGCACTTTCTGTTCAGTAAATATGACTGAAATTAGGAGACTTGGGAGTACAATTCAGGAGACTGCAGTTTGGGTTCTGTTCTGTGTAGATTAATGACTATTTGGATGTGGCCCACAGCCTCATGTAATTACATTTCAGACTATACATTTTTGTAATCATTTTTATTGAATAAAAAAATTACCATTTTAAAATGTATGGCCGTTATTAAAGGAAATATTTATAATAGTAACAACTAAATTTGACTGTTTATTTATTTATTTTTTAGTATAGATTGGCAGTTTTGTTACGCAGTTGAAAAGCTGTGAGAGTAAAAGCGTGTTGCAGTTATGCTGCTGCTTTGAGTATGTGCCTGCTCAAGTGTCCGGTGTGAAACAGGCCTTATGTTATGAAATGTATATAGATAAACCATGTAAGAGTAAAGGATCAACACAGTAAGTTTAGATAACCAGAAAAGAAAATGTGTCAGGCTTAAAGTTTTGATTCAGCAAGCTTTTCAAGATATATAGTCATAACAAAAGCATGACCATACATGATCAGGTAAGCGAAGACATTGTCTAGAATAGATCCCGCAATAGGGACCTTGAAACAGAACCTTGTTATTATTGCTAATTTAAATGATATTTTTGCATAATATAAAGAGACTCAGACAGTGAAGAATGATGTTATTCATCACTTAGTAGATGCTGAAGTGATAAACTGTTTCCTCCTTATTCGTTTGATGATAATTATGATGCCAATAATGGTGATCACAAGAAGTCTATTTCTGTTTCTCAAGTGTGCAGGACTCAGGGACAAGCAGGGAAGACATACCTATAATAATACAACTATGACCTTTTAATGTCCCCTGAATGGCTAGGTTAAACCTTTAGCTCCAATTCATTATCTTCTACCAAGTCCTGTCGTTTGTGTCATTAAAAAGAATATCCTTTCAGAAGTTCTTGAAAATTTCCAGATCCTTAGCTGGTACAGGTGTGTCCTTCTTCCACTCATCCTCTGGATAGGTGTCAAAGTTAGACGTGTCGCCCTCATGAGATACCTTTGGAACTATGGGTGGCTGTCACAGGAAAGAGAGAGAGAAACTCATTAACAAAGCTTCAGATACAGCTAAATATAGCATTCAAACGTGCGGGGTTACTACTAAAAAAAACAACAACGAATTTTAATCAGCAAGGATGCATTAAACTGATCAAATGTATCAGTTTACACAACAATATTAAGCAGTAGAACCATTTATATCTGCATTGATATCTATATCAATGCAGATATAAATGGTTGGATAAATGGATAAATGGATATTTATATGATATCTGCATTTATGCTATACACTTGGCAAAACAACCCAAGGTAGACATACTGACCCGGAAAGGTCGGCTTAGGCCGATGGACGTAGACAAAATGATCATCAAATCATCAAAACATTTGGTTTTGATAAACCCACTGAACCCTAAACCCACCGAAAAAGAGTTATGTGATCACGGTTGGTGTCTACCTGAGTTGACGTCATTCGCCATGCACCGTCACTTTTTACATGGTAGAGGCAAACGCACATATCCGATTCATATCAGATTTTTTCTAATATCAGAATCCATGTTATTTGTGTTCCTGTTTACACGTTCGTGGGTATACGATCTTTGCCACATGGGAGGGAAAAAAAAAGAAAATCGGAATTGGGTCTTAGAATGAAAAACGTGACACTGAGGACTGGATTAATGACTGCTGAAAATTCAGCTTTGTCATAACAGGACTAAATTACATAATATATTAAAATAGAAAACAGATCTATTAAATAGTAATAATATTTCACAATATTACAGTTTTTACTTTATTTTTGATCAAATAAATGCAGCCTTGGTAAGCATAATTGACTATTGGTAGTGTACACTGTACTTCCCATTATCCAGCTAGCAAGGCCTTCTGGGAAACTATGCAATATGTCCAGTAAACCTTGGGGAATATTCTGGCTTTGTAATTCTAACAATAAAGCAAGTAAAACAGTAAAACAGAATGACTTTTTAAAGAGGCGTTGACACTTATGTGTCCAGCAATGACTTGGAAATCTTACAAAAATGATTATTGGTATTAAATGAATCTTTAATAACAGGGCATATCCTAAAACTCTATACGACAGAACTGCGGTGCTTACCTTAAGTTTTCTACAGGGCACAGACTCCCAGTCTACTGACTTAAACCATCTGTGCTTTTTCACATCATCAGCCCCATTCTGGAAGAAGACAAAAATAATACACAATAATGTGATGGATTACTAGAACTAAATGAACATTAAAGTAGAATCAAGTTTTACATTCTGAGACAAACCATCACAGTTAAAACTGTGACAAGAACAAAAACCTTAAAATGTGCTACAATGAATAATATATCTATTAACGCTTTTAGATCTGACATTGAACATTCATTTGAATCCATTTTATACCAAACAGTCTTTTCAGCCACTGTGTTGTCTTTTTAGTTTCTTAGAGAGGAAAAGAAAAGTGGGGCAACAATGCAAAGCCTTCTAGAAACCTCAGAATTTGGGCCACGCATTGCACTGTGGGACCACTCAAGTGGAATAACAGATATCTGCACTTGTGAATGAGCGCTGCCAGCAGGACCTAGCCTTGCTGTGGAAACAGTGCAAACACAGCTGTGATTGGGCTGCCGGCTATTAAACTCTCACAAGGAGTCAGAGGAGAATAGAGTGAGAGAGAGAAAGAAAGAAAGAAAGAAAGAAAGAAAGAAAGAAAGAAAGAAAGAAAGAAAGAAAGAAAGAAAGAAAGAAAGAAAGAAAGAAAGAAAGAAAGAAAGAAAGCTAAATTAACAATTGAAACATCTAGCCTGATAAGTCCACCCAAAGTGACATTTCTTCAAAACTTTGCCATCTTTGTCTCCTACTCTGAATATGCATTGGCAACAAAAAGTAAATAATCACAATTTATTACATCTAAAAAAAACAACAAACAAACAGAGAGATATACATTTCAGCACAGCTCGTTCCTCACATGCGGAGAATTAGAATAACAGCATTAACTGTTGCTAATTGGAAAATGACGCTCAGACGCAACCATTCACAAACTTCCCATGACATCACCGTCACGATATGCATCACATTCACGCGTGACAGGCCTGGCACACTACTGCCACCTCATCTGGCGCCAGTTATTGAATTATTTCCTCTCAAGGGACAATTTAGAAAAGTAACTGCCATTAAACCACAACTGTTTGAATTACTCAAGCTGGAGATGCAGAAACATTTTGCACAAGGACTCTGTCTGCAGTTCTTTCCTCTCTTTCCACCTCGTCTGATGGGGGTTGGAAGGGAGGTATGGTGGGAGAGTTTCCCGGTGTCAGAATCACTCTGTGAGTGTCCAGGGAGTTTCTCCAGAGCCTCATCTCATCCCCTCTAGGCAGATAGGCAGCCTCCTTATCGTAAATGGAAACATGTGGCCAACTGTGGCCTTTGGGAGAAAAATCTCGCAGGACTCAATCAAGGTCTTATTATTTGCTTATTAAGATGCAAAACTGGCCTAGAAAGAGTTTAATATGTTAGATGATTCATGGATTCTCAACCTGGCCTTGAATGTGATATGACTATAAAGAGTCCATATGGACAGAAAGAAGAGTGTATCAAAATAATAATGTTCTCAAAGGAAATATCCCAGATGCTGATTCCTGCAGAAATACCTTGCTCAACCATACAAGCACTATAGAAAATATCTGTTACAAACACCTTGCTTACCTTCATGTTTCCAAGCCTTCTTGCCCGGTCAATCACCAGAAACTTCTTGATTAGGTCCCTAGTCAAAGACAGAAGATGAGAATCACTATGGTAAAAAGGCACATTATTTCATTATTCAATACACACAGGAAAGTTAAGATGTACAAGGCAGAAATTAAGATTAGGAACACTCCAATTTTGTACCACTTTGCTAAAAAAGAAAGAAAATGAAATTAAAAAACTAAAATAAATGATCTGTATACTACATTTTGGCAACATAGCATTATAAATGTGCAGTATTGAAATCTGCTAAATAAAAGTAAAAGTATACAAATACTATATAAAAGCAAGTCTTCAAAAAATGATCTAGGAATGTGTGTGGTCGGAAACAGTTTATGGCACGTTTCAATATGTAACATTAATAAAGTTTGAACTATTCTGCTTGTACTATTCTGAACAATGTCTGAAACTTTGTATTACTAGAACTTCTTGTATTTATTGCCTGCTTAAGATGAATCATTTGTTGTATTCCTCATTTGTAAGTCACTTTGGATAAAAGCGTCTAGTAAATGTAAATGATTGTAAATGCAACTTTTTTTTTTCAAGAGATAAATCTTCACTATAATACAATTAAATTGTATGCTAGATGATGGCAAATGCAAATCTATATATTCTATTAAAACATGTGGAAATATATTTAAGGAATCTAATATCCACCATCAAACTATATATCAATAAATGTGCAAAAAGCAAAATATCGAATTCTTGCAGATATCTTGTGCGTCCCTACACAAGAGTGGCCTGCTTTGTAAAATACAGATTGTACAAACATGCAAATTTATTTTTGACAAATGCCTGAAAAGTTTGAGAACCACTATCATAAAGAGATTATTCATTGTGCAAAAGCTTCAATCAGCTTATGAACATAAAAACAATTTCTTCAAATCTTTGCACTTTGACAAAAATAATCTGTATCTATGATCCAACACGCTTCAAGCTGTGAAGGCGAGCGCATTAGCATGTTGACTGCTGTGACGTTGATATTCTCACTCAACCTAACACGAGAGACGCCTGGAGCGATCTTGCTACAGATGACCTTACCATTCACTCAAGCCTCCCTGGCAGATGTTATTCATTCTCCAATGATCGTGTGTGTTTGACTTCACGATACTATTATCTTATCAAGCTTGTTAAACCTCTAGTGACAGGAGACGTCGTTCGGCTACTTTCACAATTGTAACTAGAGTAAACATGTCAGTTAAGGAAACACGGATTTGCTTTGCCTGAAGTGACTGTCTGTCTCCATTTCCGAGAGCTTCCTTAAGCTGTCTTTGTCTCTGGAGTGCAGACCGTTTGAAGGAATAAACAGCAGTTAGCCCCAACGGTTAGTGGACAAAAGTCAAGTCATATTAGGAAATGCAGCTGTGATGTCATTTTGTGTACATGTTTGTACAGCTGCAATGACTTCTTAGATGATACAACGTAAGAGAGGATATTGTTCTATATCATTAAGGATTACTTTTGTATTTTTTGAACATCAAGATGAAACGGCAGCTTGTTTGCTGAATCCTGAGCTCCTTCAGTTCAAAAGCACCCTGAGTAGTGGAGTAAACAGACCCGTCTGTCTGTAATCTAGAGGATGCCTCCGCTCCTGCAGCTGCCAGAGTGCTTAGTTGACAAGTTTAGATGGGTTCATTAGAGGGCATGTGTTGTGTGTATCTATGAGAGCATCTCTCTTTGAACTATGAACTGTCTAAAACATGGGTCTTCAACCTTTTTCATATCAAGGACCCTTTGCTGGAAAGAGAGAGCATGTTATCACTGAATAGAAAAAATATTGTTACATTTTAAGTGTGGTCTAATACTATATTAATGGATTTAAATACTTGAAGATGCTTACTTGTTATTAAAATATTCATTATTGATGTTCAAAGAGATATACATTTTTATTTTACTTAATATATTTTAATGTGGGAGGAGCAATGAAACTGAATTTGAGCTTTTTTAATTTAACAATGTATTTTTGTTTTACCAGAGTTAGTCTAGCAATATTTATATACTATTACAGTATTTATTGATATTTTGAATAATTTTAATCTTTTCAGGTTTCAAAGTTTTCATTTTAATGTTAAAGATTTAGTAATTTTCTCATTATTTTTTTTTTTTTCAATTTTTGCAATTTTTTCATCTAATAATGGTATATTTTTAATACATTTTTTATTTCAGCTTAATTTCAATAAATGAAATTGGTTGTAAGTTTTAGTAACCAAAAAATAAATAAATAAATAGAGATAAAATATTTCTTGTTTATGCTGACATGATTTCACTAGACGTTGTGTTTTATGTATGCAATAAATATGGCATGTGTCATTTTTTTGGGTTGTGTTTTCTTTATCAAACTCACTTTACATAGAAATCCAGATGCCGTGGAAACTCCAGCTTTCCGGCTAGAATCTTCTGGTAGATGCCAAAAGGATTATCATCAAAAAATGGTGGATACCTTAGACAGAGAAAGACAGTAAAAGAGTAGAGATTTTTAAATGCCAGTGATGAATCCAAGATCCCAAAACCTTAAAAAGATGTGCCAACCAGAGAGTGACTGCAATATTTTTATGCTGACAAAGACATTTTAAAATAATGATCAATTAATGTGTCAGTATGACAGAGAGCAGAAAAGGTCTCTAAAGATGTTCTTCATCTTATTGACAGCTTAGCTGAATTTAATGCTGAAATGCCCAAAATGAATGCAGACTTTATCTCTGTCAGCTTAGTCTAATAAAAACCTCTGCAATGATTCATTAACAGACCTGACCTGGACACTACAGACAAGACAAGCACATAGATGAACAAATAAATAAATCTGGTTTACCAAAGATAGAATTACTCATTAAGTTTTGATTTAATATTTTTTCTTAGGGAAGTTTTACATAAATGCATTACATTTTTTATTAAATAATTCCAAATGGCATACTGACAACAAAGCATTTTTTTTTAACTACATTTAAAATAATAATGATAATTATTATTGTCATTTTGTAGTGCTTTACTGTCAGTATGTTACTTGGAACTATTTAATATAAAAGACCTCGTCAATAATGTTACTTTTGCTAAACTCTACCCGCCGGTGAAGGAATTTTCCGTCATTTATGAGACAAAGCTTCCCCGCCACTTAATGAATTTTTCCACTGTTAAAATTTTCCTTTTTTTTAACGCTGGCGGGGAAAGAGTTAATACAAATATTCCAATGTAATCTAAAGCGAGTTAACTGAATAAAGGCTTGAAGTTTTTGCTTTCAAAATGGCTAATTTCACAGATGCATTCCTGGTCTGCACTTGTTTAAATCACCAAAAGTAGCAGCATTGGAGGAGGACCCCAACTGCTGAATGTGTAGTTTAGGCCTTTGAATGACTGCTGTGGACTGTGTCTCAGTATAATGCCATTTCTACTCATTTGTGTCCATGTGATGTGTGTTCTCTAATGTCTGGTATGTGATTCTCCAGCTCATGCTGTGTAATCCATTTCTCCATTACAGACTTCCAGTTTAGTCCTGCTATGCCCCAACCAACATGCCATCAAACATCCTTCAACTCTCCTTATAAGTGTTTAATACCTGAGTCCAGGTGGCATTGCAAACAGCCATTAAATATGAGGGATAGATAAGGTGAGAGATGCTAATGAGCCTGTTACTAGGCGACCACCTGAAGTCTCATGAGGGCACAGATCACTGACAATGACAGAACTCAAGTGTCAACAGTGAAGATGACATGATGAGACATACATCAGCAGCAAAATATAGAGTGAAAGACCCTGCAGTGTTTGACAAAGAATAAGCCATTAGCTCAGAGTTGCACAGCGGGGATGACACATGTGTGATGGCTTAAAAGAGCATTACACAGAATGGCCACAGTACGATTTTATTTAAAATTTAATACTTCGTGTTATCCTAGACCAACCCTGTACCTTTTAATTCTTGACAAATATGATGCATAACGAATCATAACTGTAATTTATATAGCACACATATTTCAGTCATATACATTACTGCTATTATTCTTGTATAGTGCATTTTTGAAGCTTGACAGCACCTGGTCCCCATTCACTTTCATTGAATGGAAAATAAAAACATAAAAATCTCCTTTTGTGTGTAAATGAAGAAAAATGGTCATTTAGGTTTATTTATGACACGGGGGGTAAGTAAATGATGACAGAATTGTGTATTCCTTAAGAGACCTCTAGCTGCAGCCTTCTAAAAAGTAAAATAAGGTGGTTCAACTTAATGGATTGAGCAGGACTGACAGTATTGACTGAGTGTGGAACCATAAACAGAGAGAGAATTCAGGAGAGCATTACTTGTAGCTATTCCTTCTCGTGGGTGATGGAAAAGAGAGATAGGGTGAAGGAGAATAAAAGAGAAAGAAAGAGAGAGAGAGAGAGAGAGAGAGAGAGAGAGCAAGAGAGGCATATTAGTCTCTATAGTCTTACTGTAAGCAGTGGCTGGTGACAGGGGAAAAAAAGGAGAATTATAAAACTCAAAACTTTTACACAACACCACAGGTGTCGCCAACATTCCACTGAGAAAGAGAATACAAAAGAAGCCTTTCAAATTGTGCTCTTGAAGTGCTGGATCTTATAACATCTATTGTATTATAACTAAGACACTCACATTATATATATATATATATATATATATATATATATATATATATATATATATATATTACAATTCAACCCAAGGTCCATGCACAGCCTGGTAGGTGCAGGTAGATAGCAGGAACGAATTTAAATGACAATAATAAGAACACTCTACCGCACACTGTTGACTTTACTTTTTTATTTTATTCATTCAAAGCGAACAACGCGCTTCGCATATAGCGTCCTCAGGTTCGCTCAGTTATGGTCTGAGCTCTCAGGTGTCTCTTAATTTCCAGTCACATGATCCATGTTTTGAATGAATAAAATAAAAGAGTAAAGTCAACAGTGTGCAGCAGTGTGTTCTTATTATTGTATATATATATAAATATATATATATATATAATTTCCTTCAATGACAATATTATGTAGATTTTTAAAGTGAATCAACATGGTAAGAAAAGCCAAACAGAAATGTAAGAGTTGCCAGGTACATTTAAACCGGTGCGCACAGAAAGTCGCTTCTCATACTGAATAGTGGTGCGCAATACTGAACAGAGTTCCTTCCGCATCTTTTTGCACTTAAACGGACAAATATACACAAAAATATGTCAAAATAGTATCGCAAACACAGTTGGTTATGTCTTAATTGAACAAACAGTTGACAAAGAAAATGCATGTGTAACATTATATTGGATCAATGCAGCTCTTAAAGTGACAACAGCCTGATATTCCTGCTGCTGTCTCTATAATAACGTTAATCAAACAACAAAAGACAAAGAGAAAATTAACTCTCTGTTCTTGACTGAATAACTTTTGTAACTATATTTGTAATGTAGCCTATATTTTATTCATAAAGTGCAGTTATTTTACATTTGATTACAGTTTCTGTACCTGAATACCTGAAAATCTTAAACATTGTTTGTTTATTTCAATCGTATACTTGTTCCGTTGTTTATTTATTTGCTTTGTTTATTTTTCTTTAATAATGTTGGAAATGTATATTAGTTAGGCTAGTTGTTTTTGCTATGATATTTTTAAACCATAGGCAAAAGTTCCTTAAGTGCTCTTTAGCCTGCTGATTTTTGTTCATGGTATTCAGCTACAATGAAATGTTTTGCAATAAAGGTTATCTAATTGAAATCGAAATAAGCAATCGATAAGCAGTTTTGGAATCGTTAAAATTCAAACGATACCCAATCCTACCCTAACCCAATCCTTAATTCAAAATACATCTTCTGGAAACCCTGGTTTGTGAACCATTTTTGCTTTTTAATGCAACTCTAAATGTTTTTGCTCAGACTTAGCTGACATTTTCACCAATTGTATCCTTAAAAGTAGTTAGGACAGAAATACGAACACACCCACAAGACATCTGCTCACACCCACATACACGGTCGGTCACTACATTGAGGTTGCTAGCCCTTTGATGGCCCAGGAGGAACTATTTCAAACTCTTGCTATATTTCCTGTAAAGGAGAGTCAAACAACCTTTAACATTCGAACAGACAAACACACAGTCCCAGATATGACTGAAGAGAGCTTTTTGTATGTCTGGGCAAGCTGAGCCTATGTCTGTGACTCTGTCTCTTGGAAAAATAAGGGACCAGGTCTTTTTCTCTCACTGACTTGCAGGAGCAAATAGTTCAAAAGAAGTCTGGGATGAATGAAGAGGGTGGGTCACTCTTTCCTCCACACGAGAGCCTGTGAAAGCTCTAGGGCAGATTTAGATTCAGCAACATGCAGGTGGGAGAATGGAGCAGTTTGGAATGGATATACACTACAGCATCCAAAATTATACCAGGAGGGAAGAAGTTTATTTTCACACCGGCTTTGGAGTCCATGTGACAAAATGAACACATTTTCTTGTGCAAGCACAAAGATTATGCACAAAGTGCAGCTGTGTGGTATGGAGGACCAACTCTACCATATTTAAAAATAAATACAGAAATAAATAAATGCTCAATAAATAAATAAGCATACAATGAATTGCCCCAAAAAATACAATAAACAAATAAATGTAGGCAGAAATTAAATTATACAGTGAGACATAAATGTGTATATATCTCTTTTAATTAGCTTCTTTATTTATTCACCTTTGTAATAATTACCTTATTTATTTATTGTCCGTTATAATCTTCAACTTTATTCATTAATTACTTATTTTTTGAAGTATTTATTTATGTGCATGTTATAATATTTTTGTCTGTTTTATTCTTCCTTTGTATTTTTTTACCCTATTTATTTCTTCAATGCCATTTATTTCTGCCTGTCGTTTTTACATTTCTGTATGCATTTCTGCCTCATTATGCAAATGAGGAGGGGCTGTGTCTTAAGGGGTCAACTTCTGCCCATTGGTTGGTTAGTCTTTTACTGCATCGGTCGAATCTACATGCCACCGGCCGCGGTTTTTTATTTTTTTTTCAGGGTGGTAGGGGAAGACTCATTAATATTCATTAGGGAACTCATCCCTGATTGTCAATTTAAAATATACATTTTAAAGTCAAGAAAGTCGCAGTTTGATGTAAAACTGTTGAGGTATAAGACTGTGAAAATACGTAATTAAAAAGACTACAAACCCAAAAGGCGCACATTTTCTCTCAATGAATGAAGCTAACTTTACTGAAGCTAACGTCTGTCATTGTTTCTGTAGTCTTGCGTTATAATCGTAACATTACGCCGTCATGCCGGAGTGTTTTGTACCAGACTGCACACACACGAGCAGCGGATCTCGCTCGTTGTTTCGCTTCCCGGGAGATCTAGTTCATTGAGCGATTTTCACATAAAACTAAATGTCACTCTTCTGTTTTATGACAAACTGCGACTTTCTTGACTTTCATAATTATCTTTTAAATTGACAAACATCATATGTATAATTCAGGGCACAGTTCAGACGGAATAAAAAGATAAGTTGTCTCTCGCCATTGACTACCATAGCCTACATATTTTTTTCCGAAATAAGGTCCCATGAGCCGGAAGCGGAGGGGAGGGGCTTAGGCTCTCTATGGGAGGAAATGTACCCCTTAAGACACAGCCCCTCCTCATTTGCATAATGAGGCAGAAATGCATACAGAAATGTAGAAACGACAGGCAGAAATAAATAGCATTGAAGAAATAAATAGGGTAAAAAAATACAAAGGAAGAATAAAACAGACACAAATATTATAACATGCACATAAATAAATACTTCAAAAAATAAGTAATTAATAAATAAAGTTGAAGATTATAATGGACAATAAATAAATAAGGTAATTATTACAAAGGTGAATAAATAAAGAAGCTAATTAAAAGAGATATATACACATTTATGTCTCACTGTATAATTTAATTTCTACCTACATTTATTTGTTTATTGTATTTTTTGGGGCAATTAATTGTATGCTTAGGCTATTTATTTATTGAGCATCTATTTATTTCTGTATTTATTTTTAAATATGGTAGAGTTGGTCCTCCATAGTGTGGAACTTGCTGATCGAGAAATAAATCTACACATTTTACATGCTGTTCTACCACACATTTATGCCCACATGTGTTGGCAATAACAGATTAATCTGGATGTAATCTTTTTGTAAACAAGATCTATTCCAAGATACACATCCGCCCCCTGAGATACTGTAAATGCGAGCAGATTATCTGTGTGCATATTAAATATGCCAGTTTGTGCATGCTGAATATGGGCTGCAGGAATTAACGTCAAGGCAAATACGGATAAATATCACAATAAGGATAAATATCAAGACAGCACTGAGAGAGGACACCGAGACATGCACATGGAGGTTTAGGCCCTTGGCAGAGCTCGATATTCCACTGCTGCCCTCTAGTGGTGTGTTTTTGAAATGAAAATTCTCAGTGTATTAGCCCTGATTTAGGGAGTCTATCTGCTTTTAAATCCCAGGGAGTGCGGAACTTAGGTGTTCTTGTTGACCAGCCTTTAAAACTTGACAAACACATTTCATCCGTAATCAGTTCCGGTTTCTATCAACTTCGTCTACTGTCTAAAGTCAAAGACTTTCTCACTCCGAAAACTCTGGAAATGAAAACTCCGTGTTCATGCATTTATTACATATCGGATAGATTAAGCAAATTCCTTATATTGCGGTATATCAAGTTCTCAAATTGCCCGTCTTCAGTTAGTCCAAAATGCTGCAACCAGACTTATTCATAAGTGTCGAAAATATGACCACATCTCTCCGATTCTCAAATCTCTACATAACATAGCTCCTGCCTATCTCTCGGAACTCATTCATCCTTACACTCCATCCAGAAGTCTAAGATCCCACGACCAGGCTCTGCTGGTAGTCCCTCACGTAAGACTCAAGCGTAGAGGGGAGCATTTGCAGTGGCAGGGCCACGACTCTGGAACACTCGCAACATGACATCATGACTTTGCGTAAACATACACGCCACTTTCAATTCAAGTGGCGTGTTATCTATACGCATTTCATTAAATGTCCGAGTGATTCCGCGTGTATGTCTACGCCGTTAAATGTCCGAGCGAAACGAAGCAAAATCTATATCTACATCTGTGGAGCGATATTTCTTTTCCTAGGATGGTAGGAGAAGACTCATAAATGGTATTAACCCCAGTGACGGGTAGGTTTAGGGACGGCTACCCTGTCTGTCTTCAAGTCTCTGTTAAAAAACCTACCTGTTTTCTTTAGCATATTGATCTCTTTTCTTAGGTTGGTTTTACTATTTTATATTTGAGTCTGATACTGTTTTGCCACTCCTGTTTTAAGGTTGCTCTTAGGTTTGCTGCTTTTATTTGTGTTTTATGTGTTGTTATACAGGTATTAATTTCTTATTAATTATATGGTTGTTATGTAAAGCACTTTTATATATATATATAGGGAGGTAAAACTTAGTAATAGCAATCATTTAAAAAAAAACACCAACTAACACTATTACAATATATAATATTTATACTCAGATCATTAGCAAATGTTTAGCTAAAAAATATACTTCATACATCTCTGTAGACCCCCTTTAGTAATTTACAAACTTCCAGGGGTACACAGACTCAAATATAAATGAACATTTGGTCTTACCCTGCTAGCATTTCAAAGATGAGCACACCGAGAGCCCACCAATCCACAGCTCGCCCATGACCTTTACTCTGGATCACTTCAGGAGCCAAATATTCAGGAGTACCACATAGAGTCCAGGTCCTGTAAAGAAAGAAATAATAAAATAGTGATGGACAGAAAGAGAGAGAAAAATATCCTACAGGATCCAAAAGACTTGGAAAAAATGAAATGTTTTAAAGGAACACTCCGACTTTTGGGGACTTTAGCCTATTCACCTTATCCCCCAGAGTTAGATAAGTCCATACATACCTTTTTCATCTCCGTGCGTGCTATAAGACGCACCCACCGCTAGCCTAGCTTAGCACAAAGACTGGATGTAAATGGTTGCAGCTAGCATACTAATCCAAATAAGTGACAAAATAGCGCAAACATGATTTGTGATTTGTATAGTCACAGAGTGTACAAAAAACTACGTCACATGAGACACAGACATATTTTAACAAACAGTATAAATACTGGGAACTATATTCTCTGAAGGCGAAGCACTGCTACTTGGGCGGAGTAATAACCGCAGCACCTGAGACGCGCCGTGGTGAGGAGCAGAGAGTTCGTTCAGAGTTTGGGTACGGTGCGTCTCATGTGCTGCGGTTATCACTCCGCCCAAGTAGCAGTGCTTCGCCTTCAGAGAATATAGTTCCCAGTATTTATACTGTTTGTTAAAATATGTCTGTGTCTCATGTGACGTAGTTTTTTGTACACTCTGTGACTATACAAATCACAACATGTAAATAGGAAAATGTTTGCGCTATTTTGTCACTTATTTGGATTAGTATGCTAGCTGCAACCATTTACATCCAGTCTTTGTGCTAAGCTAGGCTAGCGGTGGGTGCGTCAAACAGACTTATAGCACGCACGGAGATGAAAAAGGTATGTATGGACTTATCTAACTCTGGGGGATAAGGTGAATAGGCTAAAGTCCCAAAAAGTCGGAGTGTTCCTTTAAGGCTATAAAATAATAATCACATTTTTGAAGTTGACCATGTTTAGAGTTAAAGACAAAAAATAAAAACAACAACAACAACAACAAAAAACAGACATTTCTGACAAAATATATTTTATGTTCCACAGAAGAAATAATATTATACAGGTTTGGAGTGACATAATTGATATAGTAAATTATGACAATTAACATTTTCGGCTGAACTACACCTTTATTAAAATGTCAGATTTTCTTGCTTTCATTAGAGCACACAATGCTCTTTGGGACAAAGTGTGCTCTAATGAAAGCAAGAAAACTGAGTGAAATCAAAATTTCACTCAACTTGTTATGTTTATAATAATATTGTCACACAAAATAGATAAATAAATAAATAAACAAACAAACAAACAAATAAATAAAAACGTCTTTTGCATAAGTATCTGCCAGTCATTGCAAATAATGATTGCAATAATTATTATTGACCCCCAAACTTTTTTCATGCCAGTGCGACAACATTTTGTTCGAGGTCGCACTGGTGCAACAACCACATTGCCCAACTGATAAGAAATTCCAGTTGCATTCAAGAAAAATCAAACGGAAAATTAACGACAAATGATCAGCTCGGAGCAATAATAGACAGCGCAGAACTCAGAACATGTTTACTTGCGTGTGATCTTGAGCATGCGACACCGTTATTACACAGCGCTGTGAGATCCAGTGAGAAAGAGTTTGAAATCGCCACAGAATTAATAACATCGCAGTGAGATCTAGGGTGAAGCATTCAAATTCGGTGCAGAATTCTCTGTTATAAACCACGGATATAAAACAGCGCTGACGTGGAAACCAGGAGAGACATTGTGCCAAGAATGAACAAGTTATAGAAGGCTTTCCAGTCCACAAATCATTCACCGTAGATTTAATATAGAAACGCTAACTGCAACCATGGTATTGTGGCAGTAATAGTCGAACGTTTTTACATTATTCATCTCAGGGTTCGTACAACCTTTTGAGAGTGAAAGTCAAAAAACTTTTCAAGGGCTTTTTAAAGTGCATGTTATTTTTGATGTGATGATTTGTAAAATGAAAAGTTTAAAGATGTAAGAAAACTAACATTCCACGGCAAACAAACACTATTATTAAAAAAAGACATGAAATTAACATTATAACCAGTAGATGGCAGCCATTTCCAGTCCCTAATGGAAAAAAGTAGGAAGTCACAAAGTCTCATGAAAACCAAAACCTTTTCTTCAAATTGTGTCTAAATTACACGAAGCAAGTTGAGAGCGCTCATTTTATAATCACTGAAGCTGTCGGTCAGTTCAGTATGATACTAAGAACCATGAGAACAACATTTAATGAGAATATAATATTGAAATTTCCCTACAAAAATTGGGCTTTTGCACGATACTGTTGTTAATAAAAGTTAATTTTATCTGCATCTCAATTCAACCTCAGTGCTTTACTGTCAAATTTCCAAAAAAACAAACATGCAATATTATTAGTATTATTAGTATCGTTACAATAGTAATTTTATCATTAAATTAACTATGATTAAAAATCCCCCCAACGCTACGATAAAAAAAAGAAGGGTTGGAGGTTTATTTTGTGTTAATGTACATTATTACACCATTACATAGATATTTACAGTTTTTTTTGGGGCTATATATTTAACACAGTAAAAAATAGAGATATAACCATAGCCATATGACATAGCCCAGCTACTGCAGTGACTGCTGAGATAGCACACAGAGGGGTGTAATTACAGTACACCTTATGACAGCTGGCTATCTGGAACGGATTGTATTGGCTGGTGTAAGGTAGAGACAGCATATCCACTTCAAGCCAAGGATACTATAAGTGTAACTGTATATTGAGCTAGAAGCCAGGGTGAAAGCCACTACACAAATTTTTATTTGTAGTAGAGGGTTTCTGATTACACAGATATGTCATTTCACCCCATGGAGCTGCAACTTCTCTGTGTTTGTTTGGGGCCATGAGGCTGGTCAATAAATGAGTCTGTTGACCTGTCCTTCAGCAAATGGCTGCCCTTTGCTTATTTGTCTGGACCTGGTTTTGTAATGTAATTATAAGATTGTAGCTGTTGATACCAGAATGACAATAAGGATATGTAAATATGTAAAAGACCTTTGTGAGTTATGTAAAAGATCAGAAAATTGTTGACTAATCATTTGTATAAAAATTGTAAAACAAAAATTTATTTTGCGCTTGCAGTTTTAACAGAAAAAAAAGAAAAAGATTCCACTCAACCTATTGATAGTTATAGCTTTCAGGTCTTCAACATTTTTCAGCTCATGAATCATTTGGACAAAGCATATTGCAAGAGTGTTGAATTTGAGGTTATCTGATGGGTAGATATAGATTCTTCAAAAGTTTCTTCAAGGGGTGTTTAAATCACATCACAAACCTGGGGTACCTCAGGGTTCAGTGTTGGCCCTTCTATTCTCAATATGTATATATAACCTCATCGGGCCATACTACTGCTGATAATATCCTAAAACTGCCATGATGACAGCAGGAAACTTTAATGCAAGAGGGTCTGGAACAGCTTGCGTGCATATCTCTCACAGTATTTTCCTTATTTTCTTGCTCTCTATTTTAGTCTCTTTCTTTATCTTTCTGTGCTCAGCTGTATGGTTTTAATCCTTCTCTCTGTAATAGAGAGGATTAGTCTCCCTTGTGTTAACTGAAGCCTCTCGGTGTCAGTTCACAACAGCATTTCAATGAACCGCAAGAGAAGTTTGGTGTGACATGGTTTTCAATTGGCTCTGATGATTTATGTTTACACTAATTATATCAGACAGCATACTAATAGGAGCAGTAAAGAAACTGATCCTGTTATCAAGATCAGTTCCTGTTATTAAGATAAGAACACCCGATGACTCACTTAACAATATGTTTGCCTGTATGGCTGTGTTTCTGCGTCTTTGTGACTACAAAATGTAAGCCTGTTTTATTTAAAGGTAGGGTAGGCAATTTCGGAGAGGCTAGCAATAGCAAGCTGGCCTATGTAAGCAATAGATCCCACCCTCCCTTCGAAGAGTCTCCAAAACCATGCCTCCTCCAAAAGAACGAGCACAGTAGTCTGCAAAGCGTCATGAGAGACAGCGCTAAATTGCCTCATGTCTCGAAGCACATAACATTACAATAATAATGAGCGTAAACAACGTATAGAGCTCTTACTTGTACCACCTGACTGCTGCAGTTTAATTTAGGCGTTGATAGTGTTGCAAGAGAAACGCATACATCCGAGTCTGAGGAAGTGAACAGCTCTGGGTAGAACTTCACCGGTTGCCATCTTGTAATTAGAGTTACGACATGGAATGCATGCAGCATAAGCTTGTTGTTTTGGTTCAGGAGGAACTGTAAAGGCCCCGATATAATCACGGCAAAGATTTTTTTCATTCTTCGCTTATAGGGGTAAAATGAAGTTCGAAATACATGACCCGTGATATACTGTTAGCGACCATCCAAAGATGCCTACACTGCTGAGAGCAGCGTTTAGATTATGTATAGAATATGTGCTGCATGCTTTTCTCTCAATAACAAAATAAACACACAACGAAATTAAGAAAACAGCAAGCATTTTCATAAAGCATAAGAAAAGCATGTGATCATAGCAAAGTGGATATGTTTGCATGAGCTCTGCAATTCGGCACTCTAGTAAAGTCACATCAAGTTTATTTATATAGCACTTCCAAAAGATTTCTTAAAATTAAGCAGCTTTACCATTTTAAAAATAGACTTAAAAACAGTGTCAGTGTCTCGTTTCATCAGAAGTACAACTTCATTTTCTACTATAAAGTGGCTCTCCAGTGTGTTCATGTTTTTATTTATGGACGTCTTACCTCGACGGACTGGACAGGAGAAATGAACTGGAAAAGATTTCAGCGTGAAATCCTTCAGCGGAGCCTCCGCGCACACCTACGTAATATTATTACGTAATCGCCACGGACCAATGGTGGTACTTACCGGCAGTAGCAAACTTTTCCAGAAAGTTTACTTTGACAAGCCGTTTTGAACACCCAAAATTAACCAAACCTGATTTTGTTTGAAATTACGGCACATCAGTTTGTTCTTCGGTTTCACTTGAAGTATATCGTGGCTGCTCTTTGTTTGCAGTGCTCAGTGACTGTCTGTCTACAACTCTGCATAGCCTCATGGAACGTGTGACTGATGACATATGCTGAAGGGCAGGTAGGAGATCGTATCATCGGAACGAATGCAATGATTGGATAAACATTTTTTGGTCCTGAGACTTCCACAGAAGATACGAACAAAAGTGTTTATGAAAATAATTGCCTACCCTACCTTTATCCGTAACTCTTTGTCATTGTCAATGCTGAAACAAGTGTGTAAACATCTCAAAATTCACAGCCGAATTTTCAAAAAGGACCTTTAGGATGTCAACGCTGTTGTGATGGTGACTTTTCTCCTATTCCTTTTTATGTTTTCTTTTTGATTGGCCACTCGAAGCTGAGCAGCTACCGTTTGACAAGTTCACTCCAACTACAAATACGACCACAATAAGAACCCTGCAATTCATCAGTAACTGTGGCACAACAATAAGCCCTCATGTTGAGCAGACACTTACAAGATAAAAGAAAAACAGATAAAAATGCCATAATGCGGTCTAAAAAAAAACAAACAAAAAAACTGTCATGCCTGTTGTAGGACCAGATTTCCAAAGTCCTCATCCTGTCCTGATCTTAACAATATAGCCACTTTAAATGGCCATCAATCAATGCAAACCGCAAATAACCCGGTCTGTAATGCCAAATGAAACTATAGCCACCAGATGGCAATGTTGCCACATGACAATCTGTCTAAATGTTATCTACTCAAACTGGAAAAGCCAAAGCTGTTGCTTGAAGGGACCGGTGTCTTCTACACTGGACTAGTGGCACTGGTTTGAGTTTCTATATGTGGGTCACTTGCGCATCACAGTCAGGCCCTCGTTGTACTGGGCCCCTTCCCCATGTACAGAGAAACAGAATCGTGACCATTATGCATACACACCAGAGGGGTCATGGGTTGCTCTGAAAAAAGCACTGACTGCAGTATTCCGCACTGCAGATGGAAAACAAACAAACAAATCACAATCTCTCATTCTTTTTTATTTGAAAGATAAATGTAAGAGGGGACAACCAGATGGATTTTCAATTTCAACAAAGGTTACTCTCTTTCTTCATAATTGGTCTGTGTCACTCTCATTCAGAATTAATAACGGTAGGTTGGTGGATGCTCTGGAGCCAAACAAAGGCGCCTTTTTTGTTAAAGAGGCTCATATTAGAACAGCTTTAATACCCACAGAGAAGCACTTCTATATGACTTTTGTAGGGGAAGTCACACTGTGTGAGTGAAGAATAAAACAAGAGGGATTTTGAAGGATGAAGAGTGACGTGGAGGTTCGTTTCTGAGCCCATTCAACATAATTATTCTCTAACATCACAGCTGAGATTCTGAAAAAAAACTGAAATGAATTTGATCGCCTACAGAATTTCAGCAATGCAGGACGTATAGTTTACATTTAATTTGACAATGAAAACACTAGGAATGTTAAAATGCCATGAAAAGAATGTAAAAATTCTGGAGCATGCCTAATCCAATCTTAAAATCAACTCAAGGACACGCACTTCAGATAACTGCTGCACAGCTATTTCTCTCCCTGGTAATGTATTTAAAAATAACTTCAAAAGATTTCACAACATCAATAGACCTCTCTAGGAGTAGGTGTTGGGTAAGTTACTCTAAAAAAGTACATGGTCACACTTTAGATTAGGGTCCAATTCTAACTATTAACTACGACTTGTGCCTCAATAAACTCCTAATTACTGCTTATTAATAGTTAGTAAGGAGTTGTTAAGTTTAGGTATTGGGTATGATTAAGGGATGCAGAATATGGTCATGTGGAATAAGGCGTAGGCCTAAATATGTGATTTATACGTACTAATAGACAGCAAGTATCCTAGTAATATGCATGCTAATAGGCAACAGGTTAATAGAGAGAATTGGACCCTAAACTAAAGTGTTATCAAGTAATAGCTACTAGCTACTTATTACATCTTCAACAGTGTAATTAGATTACTGTACTAATTACCCTCTCTAAAAAGTATTGCATTACTTACTTTCTAAATCCCATATCAACCTCGACCAGTTGAACAAGAAACATGAAACTGCTCTTTTAATTATTTTAAATAAATAATACAAAATTGAATACACTATTTTTGAACTGACTGAAGTATTTAAAGGGAGATTAAAGGGCTAAATTAAAAAAATACATTTTAACATTACACATACAATTTTGATGTTAAATCACCTATTGTTTTATATAGAACTGTTCTATAGTCTTTACAGCATTTATAACCCTCTACATTAAAAGTAAATTACTCACATATGCGACCAAATTTCACGCTAGGTGACAAAAATGTCTTTAAATAGCCAATGGCTTGTAAATTGTATGATTTCAGTCACCTGTGATTGAGTTAGAGGGAAAAAAAATAAGTTTAGCACAGACATTTTCATTGCCTGCTGAGCTTTAAGCACCATCGCTTGGCTGAGAGCACAGCGCCCTTTGTCGCTTTCTCTCACACGCGCGCACTTAATGTTAGAGAAAGAGAGAGGCTTTTACACATGCCATGTAAAGAGAATTGACACGCTAGATCTAAGTGCAGGGCTCGACAGGACTAAACCAAGAGTTGACAGAACTGTCACTGTCCTGATCGGGTCAGTGTGGCATCGTCATGAAAGTTGATCATTTGCACTTGTTTTTTAGACTTGCCTATTTAAACATTCAAGCTCAAGAAGGCAAGAAAGATAACTCACACGCATCTGAGAGGAGGCAAATACTGATTTGAGCTCTTTCACGTCTTCTTGTGAACGTAAACAGTTGATAGAAAACGCATGTGTAACTAACATTATCAGTGTATTGGATACGTGCATTATGTCTTAAAGTGACAGCAGCATAACATTAAAAACACTGCTGTCTGTGTTTTATATGTTAATCAAACAACAAAAGAACGGCCAAAAATAATAAAAAAAAACTCCATGCTCGACTAAATAACTTTAATAAGGATTAATCTATTTTTAATCTATGCAGTGTTATTTTACATTTGATTATTCAATTTCTGTACCTAATATACCTAATCTGTATCTAACTACTGTTAGATCTACCTGAAAAAACATTTTAAAAAAGCAATTTAAATTTGTATCTTTATTCTATTGTTTTTATTTGTGCTATTGCTTGTAGTTTGATTACTTGTTCTTATTTTATTACAGACTGTTTACTTGTCTTTAATAGTGTTTGAAATTTATATTTTATATTATATTATATTAATGGAAATTCTTTTTTTTTCTTTTGCATTGTTCTTGCATTTCATGTAAAAAGTCTTGCGAGTAAAATAATTAACATACTAGCCAATGGCGACTCAAGCTTCAGTGTGTCCGTAGAGGGTTGATTTAATGCAATTACATCAGAAGTAACTGTAATTAAAGGGATAGTTCACCCAAAAATGACAATTCTGTCATCAATTATTCAACCTCACGTCGTTCCAAATCCATATGACATTTGTTCATCTTTTAAACACAAATGGGTATATTTTAATTAAAACTGAGAGATTTCGGTCCCTCCACAACTACCACTTTGACGCCTCAAAAAGTTTATAAAGAGGTCGTAAAACTAATCCATATGAATTGAGTAGTTTAGTCCTAATCTTCTGAAGAGACACGATCACTTTATATGATAAACATATTTAGGCTTTTATTCACATATAAACATGGTAAACGGTAAATGGACTGCATTTACATAGCGCTTTCACAGACCTAATGGCCACCAAAGCGCTTTACAATTTGCCTCACATTCACCCATTCACTCATACACCGACGGCGGTGTCAGCAGCTGGGGTTAGGTGTCTTGCTCATGGACACCTCGACACTTGGTCAGGTGGAACCGGGGATTGAACCACCAACCTTTCGGTTTGTAGACAACCTACATGAACCACTGAGCCACTGCCGCACCTTCAATAAAGCACAGATCTGATACGGTAAATGAGGTTCATTCTTTTGTTATGCTGGTTTGAGTTTCTGTTTCCTGATCAATGTTTATATGTGAATTAAAGCCTAAATTTAATCTGTTCATTATATAAAGCGATCAAGAAAATTTGTACTAAACCACTCAATTCATATTAATTAGTTTTACGATCTCTTTATAAACTTTTTGAAGCAACAAATTGGTAGATGCATGGACTGTCAATGGAGTGACAGAAATCGCTCAGATTTAATTCATTTCGAAGATGAACGAAAGTCTTACAGGTTTGGTACGACATGAGGGTGAGTAATTAATGACTATTTTTTTTCTAATTTTGGGTGAACAAACCCTTTAAATTACAGAAAAAAACATTAGTAGTCCTTTGCTTTACTTTTTCACTTAGTAATACATTACACCCAACAATGCTAGGAGTGTATTAAGCAGAAATTGTATATTTCAATGTACTAATTCAACAAATAGAAAAAAGTGTGATATCTGCAGTCAAATTCCATCATATGTTGACTGTTTGAGGTAGGAATGCACCAATGCCATTTTTAGAGACTAAATATGAGAACCTACACAACTGTCTGCAGCTCTAATCCTTCACGGTATTGGCTTTTGGACTCGAGTACCGGTACATAAGCACATAATTCGACCTTACATTAATTATATGACCGTTTCCACAAAACCATTAAATGGTACAACTATTTTCTACATTGATAATAATAATACATTTCTTGTTTCTTGAGCACCAAAGCATATTAGAATGATTTCTGAAGGATCAAGTGAAGATGAGAGTAATGGCTGCTGAAAATGTATGTTTGCCATCACAGGAATAAAAAATAGAAAACATAATATTAAAATAGAAAACAGCTATTTTAAATTGTAATAATATTTCACAAAATTGTAATATTCTACAGCCTTAGTGACCATAAGAGTCTTCTTTCAAAAACATAAAACAAATCTTACCAGCCACAAACTTTTGAACAGTATATTGTCTGTATATTGCATGTAGACAAATATTGTATAGATAACCAATGAAAACATACCTTTCTGTGAGCTTTTTAGCAAACCCGAAATCTGTCAGTCGAATGTGCCCCTCGCTGTCCAGCAGTATATTCTCTGGTTTCAGGTCTCTGTAGACTATTTCTTTGGAGTGAAGGTATTCAATGGCGCACACGATTTCAGCTGAGTAAAACATTCCGGTGCTGTTACTGAAACGTCCTCGGCTGCGTAAATAGCTGAAGAGTTCACCGCCATTCACGTATTCCATCAACATGTACAGCAAGCGATCATCATGATGCGTCCAGTACCTGAAAAAATGTCCACATCATATTTACATGTGATTAGGTCATACATCAGTCATTTGTAAAATGGCCATGAGCTTGGAGGCAGACAGGCTATACATTATAAGACCTGGGCTTAAATTACTAAAGCATTACACAATAATATTAAAGGTGCTCTAAGCGATGTCACGCGTTTTTTAGGCAAAAACATTTTTTTTGTCACATACAGCAAACATCTCCTCACTAACCACTGGCTGCCTGTCCCCTGAACACACTGTAAAGAAACGCGATCTCTGTAGACAGCCCAGGCTCCACAAACAGCAACAAAAACAAACTGGGCTAACCCGCTCCACGTAACATGACAAACAGTTCCAGCCAATCACCGACAAGAAGGACTTGGGGGCGGGGTTTGGGGGGTTAGTGCGCGGATGAGGAGGAGGGAGGGTCTAGCTAGCCTCCGTTTTGTTTGACAATACTTTAAACGTCAACAAGAAGTGACGTCACCCGACATCGCTTAGAGAACCTTTAATACAATTTTATTAATTAATTTGATAAAATTTTCCAGGTCTAGAAATCATACTTTTAAAATTAGGCTACCTCCCTTCATATATCCCGTTTTTTTATATATATATATAGTCCTGGTTCTTCAAAAAAAGAAAAGAAAAAAAAAGTTGTTGAGGGGTTGAAATAAAATAAGAAATATCTTGATTTTTTTCTTGAGGCCCCTCTGGTTGAAACCCACTAGTATAGATCAGTATCTATATTTAGAAATATTTAATGATAGGTTTAAAGATAGCAAATTCAATGTTCTGAATTGACTAAAGTGATTGCAGGTCAAACAACATTTGACATTGACATGTTTGGTACTTCAGCACGTTTAAATGTTTATACAGCACACTGAAATGTTTATACAGATCATAACCCAGTGTATGTTTATGAGATAACAGTGTAAAAATCTGTTAGCCTATTTGTTAATGTTGTGTAGTGTTCACTCACAGTCTGACAAGGAAAGGATGGTTCACCTCCGTCAAAACCTCTTTCTCATTATGTACGTGTTGCTCCTGCTTTAGACGAATAACATCTGGGATCTTCATCGCCTTCAGTGCAAAGAAACCTCTTGTCTTTTTATCCTTCACCAGAAAAACCCTTCCAAAGGTTCCTGTACCTGCAACAGTGTGGAGAACTGACATAATGAGAATGGCTACAACGCAAAAATTACATAATAGCCTCAACAGAAACTTAATTCACATTGGACCCAAAATGTATGAAGACTTAAGCTACTTACGACCACTATCCCATTTTTTTAATACTGAGACTACAGAAGCACACTGTTAAAAATTGCTGTAAAAATACAGCCAATTTCCAACAGTAAAATACTGTTATTTCAATAAACAGTTTTATCCTGTAAATTTACAGCCTATGTTCCATAAATTAATTGCTTGCTGTAAATTTACAGCATTTATGTGTAAACCAATTTGTTCCTGGAAAAAACAGTCTTGGACTGTAAAAAATAGCACGTGTGGGCGGGGCATCTTCAACGCGGTCTCTTTTCGAACAGAAAGCAGTCAAAGAACAAAATGGTTTCGCAACGCTCTTGCTGTCTTAAAGAAGGCCACTGTTCAAGGTAAGTTTATTTCTTTGCTGTTATTCTATTATGTTGCTCCAGAGTACCTGTAAAATCGCCTTTTTCATGAGGTATTTTTTTAACTGCTTACTGAGCGCGAATCGCGTTTTGCAGACAGCTCGACGGTTGAGACATTTCGCCTAGCTGCTAATGAACGCTCTCTGAGCTCCAATTACTAACGTAAATCTATGCGATTATTACTGCGAATTCTTTGCTTGGCTAAAGTTGTTACCATTTAGAAATTAGTTGGGCTTTCTTTTGTAGTAGCCTAACCCTTAACTCGATTTATATGAATTTGTGATTCAGTAACGTTACACGGTGCGAATTACCAGATGCATCAATTCGCATAATATCATGCACATAAGATGGAGAATAATTACAAAACAACTCGAAATATCCAGATCCAATGTTGTAATTAAAATGTAGTGGTCAATTTGTTTAGTTTCCATGCAAATAATATTAAAATTCCCAAAGCAAATTAGATATGTATTTTTTTTTTTTTTTTGATTTAGTGATGCAAGTACCTGCGTTTTTGTGAGATTCACATGTAAGTTAGGCCTAACGTTATAGTATTAAGTCAAAGAGGTTGTGTTTGAAAGACGAGGCAGAGACGGATATTCTTTGCGGCGCGAAACACGTTTTTGCAGACAGACAGTTATCAACAGCTGAGGCATTTCACTATTCAATGTTCTCCGCACTCTGACGTCGATTTTCTTTGCTTGGTTAAAGATTTCGAAATAATTATTTTCTTTTTTTTCCCTAGGAATCCTTCACTTGATGTAAATGTTTTACTGAGACAGTTTGCCCTAATCTTTGGTGAGTTTAACTTTCACGCCATGTATAACTTACTTGCAAACTTTGTGCACAATCATGCAGTAACGTTACCATTTTTGCATTTGATATTCCAGAAGTAACACAGAAGCAAGGATGACCGACACATGAGCTTCACAATTCTCTGTCACGTCACCATGTCCCTGGTGAACACTCTTATGGCAGTAGATCGTAAGTAATGATTTATAGTTCATTTAGTATTTATTTTATTTTTGTTTTTCTTACACAAAAATAAAATGAGTTAAAACGATTAATATTTTTATTACACACATCTATCGTTTGGCTTCAGATTTAGAAGACATTGATTCATCCACGGTGGCCTTGTGAATTAATGTTACGATCGTGGTGTTGTTTTTTAAGTGACAGAAGAATTAAGATTAGTTAAGTACATTAACATGATCATTTTATGTTTCTTTTAAAAGTGTTTGCAGAGTATGTGATCACTTTTTGCAGAGTATGTGATCACTTTTTGCAATGTGCTTTATTTTAGCACTAAGATTTTCTTGATTTTCTTTACTCTCAGACCTGGACTTCCTCTCAGACCAGATCTGTCAAAAGCTGATGTGGGACGTATTGGCTGTTTTTTGCCTCTTTCTACATTTCTTCACCCATTGGTTCTCGTGATTATGTCCTCTCAGATCTGGACTTCCTCTCAGGCCAGATCATTCAAAAGCAGGTTTGGGATATTTTGGCAGTGTTTTTTTTTTTTTTTCCTCTATCAAGGATTTTTCATCCATTGGTTCTCAATGTTTTCCTCTCAGACCCAGACTTAATCTCTGGCCTGGTTGCTGATGTGACATTTTGGCTGGTTTTAGTGTTTTTTTTTTTTGGTTTTTTTTTTGGCCTCTTTGTAATGTTTCTGTGTTTGCCTACTGGTTCCTCTCATTGAATTTTAAAATGTATTTTCTGTGACTTTTTTTCCTTAAATACTGTTAATGTATTGTTAAAACCTGTTACTTATTTTAAATAAATGGCAAACAATGTACTAATACATAATCTATTTTGTCTTTATTTTTTCCATTGAGTAAAAAGTCTGTTTGGAATGTCTGTATACATTATGCTACATATAGGGATGTTAATAGATATCAGACAATAGAGTAAATAAAAAACAGTATTTATATTCTAACTTTATGCTGCCAGTACTTTGTGAAATTACAGCACAGCCTTAAAATTAAAAACTGTAAAATTACGGTAAAGGGCTGGAACCACAGCTGCCAGTACTTTACTGTGAAATTACAGCATTGTTGAAACCGTAAAATTACGGTAAAGGGCTGGAACCACAGCTGCCAGTACTTTACTGTAAAATTACAGCATTGTTGGAACCGTAAAATTACGGTAAAGGGCTGGAACCACAGCTGCCAGTACTTTACTGTAAAATTACAGTATTGTTGAAACCGTAAAATTACGGTAAAGGGCTGGAACCACAGCTGCCAGTTCTTTACTGTAAATATACGGGTGAATTTTTTACAGTGCATGTTTGTGTTTGTTCTCCACAGAGCTCAGTACTCCACAGATGAATGGCACACAGAGCAGGGAGCGTAAAAATCTCAAAGATGACCCACCTCAAAGAAGTCTTTGATTTCTACTGTCTCTACTGTCTACTGTTTGATGGCAAACATAAATGGGGACACTTGTTGTAGAGGGTAAAATATTACACTACACACATATGAATAACAACAGAGAGAGCTTTCAAGCTGAGAGAGCAGGGCACCTTTGACCACCCACCAAATTACAGGCTACTCAGTCTCACCGGAGCGCTGTTACAAGCTTGACAGGACAGGTCAATACTAACAACAGGATACAACTCGACAGGCTATTTGGACCAATACATCCTATTATATGCTCTTAGACCTAAGCCTCACACTAAATGCTCAACTAACTCTTGATGATAAACCAAACATAACCTTAAAGCATGGTAAGAAGAAAAAAAAGCCCTGTTGTGAGTGTACGTGTGGAGTTGGCATTCTCTGCAGGTACTATTAGCACTCGGTTCAAGAGGCGGAAAACCACAGTCGTGGAGTGGTAGTTTGAGTTTAAGGGGCATGAAGTGGATCATGCAGATACCAAAAATAGGCTTGTGTTTTATTTGTTCAACCAAACTTCCGTGCGACGATTTCACTCGCATTTGTGACTAAAAATAGATGTGTGCGAACTGTAAAATGTAGTTTGGAGCACGTGTGCGAATAAAAAATCAGTTTTGCGGATCAGTTTTCTTAAATGTAAGATGATATAAAGTTAGGCTAACAATTTGAGAGATATCTCTTTAAAAAAAAAAGCCTTTTGATTGACACCAGGGCTCGAATTTCGGCGCGGGATTGCGGGTATTGCGCATAATTCTAATCATTCCCGCAGGTCTCCCATTTATAATGCGGGAAATTCCCGCAATCGTAATCCACACAGATAATAAAATCAAATCATTCTTTTAACAACTATCTTCCAGACGCAATTTCACAAACAAAGTGAGTGTTCAGCGGTGCCGCGCGTCTTCTATCTCTTCTCTCATAATGTGTTGTGCAAGGCAAGCATCAAGCGCTGCGGCGATAATACACACTCGCGTTTTGGAGTCGGGACCATAGACTGTAAGGTGGGGACATGACGGAATATTCACTTGCACAATCGGGCCAGCAGAGCATCGTGACTGAAGTCTTTTTAAGCCTTACCAGTTTAAACATTCAAGTGATTTTAAACTAATCAGTGCTCGCGCGCTCTCTGAGAGATTATTTTCTATGCGCACATTCATAGAAAATCCACCTCAAAAACAGCTGGCCAGTAACTATTTTTCGCGGATTATATTGCTTTAACACGCAAAATTGTCAATTTCGGTCTTTGTGAGTAGGCTATACTCTAAACATAGTCGGTTTTGTCTTTAATAAGCATAAAACGCATGCCAGTATAATGAACACAGGATCCGTGCACTAGCTCTTAAAGTGACGGCAGCCATATGTGTCTGTCATTAATTTTGTTGTCAAATCAACAAAAGATAGCTTTAAGTTAAAGGAATCAGGATTAATAGCCTATGTATTTAATTTATTCAGGACTAAAATACTACCCAGTGTTATTTTCCATTTGATTACTTTATTCAGTTTCATATGAATACTAGACCTACTCAAAACGTTTCTCTTTAATTGTCTTTATTTGTATCTTTATTCTATTGTATTTATTTGTGCTACTTTTTTCAATTTAATTAAACAATTTAAATCAAGCTTCCTTGTGATGTGTAAATTCTTAACAACAATATTACCCCATTGTAAAAATGCAATGAGCGCAAACATTTAGGCAAGATAAATGTAATAATTTTGTTTGGAAACACTGGAGTAATTGCTGCTGAAAATTCAGCCAGTTTAATATAATTTTATATATATATATATATATATATATATATATATATATATATATATATATATATTCACCCAAAAATTTAAATTATGTCATTACTCGTTCTAAACCTGTAAGAATTTCGTTCATCTCGGAACACAAATGAAGAAGTTTTTGGTGAAATCTCCTTTCGGTCCCTCCATCGACAGTCCATGCAACTACCACTTGACGCTACAAACGTTCATAAAGAGATCATAAAACTAATCCATATGAATTGAGCGGTTTAGACCAAATTTTCTGAAGAGATGGAATCGCTTTATATGATGAACAGATTTCATTTTTTATTTCATTTCATTTTTCAGATTTCAGGCTTTTATTCACATATAATATTGATC